GGGAAAGAGGGACAGGGAGAGTCAGCAGGTCTCTTACCAACAGGTCCTTGAGGGAGCTACACAGAGGTACAGGCAACCTTGGCAGGAGGAGTGGGGGAGGTTGCCTGCCAAGGAATGCCTGGGTTAGGGCTGGAAAGGGGCCACAGGGAGCGTGGGGAAAATATTTATTGAACGCCAGCTGTGTGCCCAGTGCTGAGATGAGGGTGGTGAATGAACCCGTCTCAGCCCCCATGGACCTCACCTTTGCAGGTTGGGGGAGGGGAGGGAGTTAAACAGCTGGGCAGGGAGTCATGAGGATTAAGGAGAGAAACATGGCCAGGGCAGGGCCTGGGGAGGCAGGGTTTCAAGGCTGGTGAGAGTGAGGGGAGACGGGAGGAGAACGCGTAGAGTTGTCGAAGTTTCTTTTTTTTTTAAGATTTTTTTTCTTTTGCCGTACGCGGGCCTCTCACCGCTGCGGCCGCTCCCGTTGCGGAGCACAGGCTCCGGACGCGCAGGCTCAGCGGCCATGGCTCACGGGCCCAGCCGCTCCGCGGCACGTGGGATCCTCCCGGACCGGGGCACGAACCCGTGTTCCCTGCATCGGCAGGCGGACTCCCGACCACTGCGCCACCAGGGAAGCCCTAGATTTATTTATTTATTTTTTGATGTGGACCATTTTTAAAGTCTTTATTGAGTTTGTTACAATATTGATTCTGTTTTATGTTTTGGTTTTCTTGGCTGCCAGGCACGTGGGATTTTTAGCTCCCCGAGCAGGGATCGAACCTGTACCCGCTGCAGTGCAAGAGTGGAGTCTTAACCACTGGACTGCCAGGGAAGTCCCAAGTTGTCAAAAGTTTTTATTTGCTTATGGGTTTTGGTCTCAGATGGCCAAGACACAAATACTGGCTCGTGACCGATCACGTGACCCTCTGAGCATCAGTCACCCTTTCGCTCCTCAGTCTCCTCACCCGGAGGAAGGCGCTGTCGACTAGACCTCATTTTAGGATTGTCGTGAGGATTAAATGAGCTAATCTGTGTAAAGAGCTGAGAACAGGACTTACCTGCTGGAGCAGTGGTTAAGAATCCGCCTGCCACTGCAGGGGACACGGGTTGGAGCCCTGGTCCGTGAAGATCCCGCATGCCGCAGAGCAACTAAGCCCGTGCACCACAACTACTGAGCCTGCGCTCTAGAGCCCGCAAGCCACAACTACTGAGCCCGTGCACCACAACTACTGAGCTTGCGCTCTAGAGCCTGCGAGCCACAACTACTGAGCCCATGTGCTACACTACTGAAGCTCGCGCGCCTAGAGCCTGTGCTCTGCAACAAGAGAAGCCACCGCAATGAGAAGCCAGAGCACTGCAATGCAGAGTAGCCCCCGCTCACCGTGACTAGAGAAAGCCCACGCGCAGCAACGAAGACCCAGCGCTGCCAGAAATAAATAAATAAATAAATAAATAGCTGAGAACAGGGGCAGGCGCATAAAAGATCCTCAATAAATTCATTCATTGATGCCAAAGATATTTACTGAACACCTACTATGTGCCAGACACCTTAGTATGGGGGATGAATCAAGATAAGAAATTCCAACTGTCCCTCATAGGTTTTTGCATTCTGGTGGGAGAGACACAGAATAAGCGAATAAGCAAGTAAAAAAAAATATATATGGCATGTCAGAAGGAGGTGTGTGACACAGGGAAAAGGAATCAGGAAGAGGGCTGGGGACCCAGGGTAGGCAGGTTGCAGTTTTAAATAGAACAGTCAGGGAATCCTCACTGAGAAGATGACATTTGAACAGGATTTGAAGTTGCTGAGGGGATAGTATTGTCCCACTTTAGCCCTGAAACTGTGGACTGAATGTCCCATGTCCCCAGAAAACTGGGGTAAGTTGGTCACCCTAGGAGTGAGTCACATGCTGTGTCAGGAGAAACATTCTGAGCAGAGGGAACAGCAAATGCAAAGGCCCTGAGGTTGGAACTCGGGGAGTGTTTGAAGATACAGCACTGAGGACAGGGTGGAGGCCATTTTTGAGGGAGTGGAGGTTAGAAAGAGCTGGTGGGGTGAACTGGAGAGAGAGAGCTAATTTAGCTTCCCATTCTGAGTATCCCTTGGGTGAGCCAGCTTGTGCCCATTAATCTTTCGTGGCAGGAACAGTCCTTGCCCAAGGCAAGCAAGGGGAGGGATAGAATTTCAGTTTATTCAAGGTCATGTGTAATGGAAGAACAGAGAGACCGACTGGGAGGGAGAGAGAAGGAAAGGGAGAGAGAGAGAGTTGAGAGTTAGTTTAGGGACCTCCGGATAGCCAGGGGTTGCCAATTCTGTTGGCAGAATAGGGAGTACATTTCATGAAGTCTTCCCATGTTACATTCTGACCACAGAGCTTTCCCTAAAACTCAGGGAAACCATCTTCCCCTCAACGGATAAAAGAGATTCCTCCCATTTTTGTAAAATATGCAGCCATCTTGGTGTCTCTTGCATTTTCCTATCTTGTTATGGACAGGAGTTTTTTGTTTGTTTCTTTGTTTGTTTGTTTGCGGTACGAGGGCCTCTCACTGTTGTGGTCTCTCCCGTTGCGGAGCACAGGCTCCAGACGCGCAGGCTCAGCGGCCATGGCTCACGGGCCCGGCCGCTCCGCGGCATGTGGGATCTTCCCGGACCGGGGCACAAACCCGTGTCCCTTGCATCGGCAGGCGGACTCTCAACCACTGCGCCACCAGGGAAGCCCTGGACAGGAGTTTTGAGTAATATACAAAGGCTTAGAGAGAGAGACACACAGGGACCCTGAGAGAGGGGGACAAGGACACAGAAAGGGGAGGCAGAGACAGAAAGATCCCTTCCAGACAAGGAGAGACTCCTTAAGGGGTGAGACCCAGAGACCCTGGGGCAAACCAGAGAAGGTGCACCCAGAACCCTGGCTGCTGTCCCTACAGGTACCCAGATCAACTAGTGAGCATACCCGGGAGATGGCCATCAGGATGCATTTCAACGGGGCAGGCGGAGATCCAGGGGCTTGGGTGGCTTACTCTGCTTTCTGTCTCCCCAGCTCACCCTCCATCACTTGCGCAAGAGCCGGGGGAATGTCATCAACATCTCCAGCCTGGTCGGGGCAATTGGCCAGTCCCAGGCGGTTCCCTATGTGGCCACCAAGGTACACCACCGAGGTAGCCTGCCCCTTCCTTCAGGAACCTCAGCCCTGAGGCATGGCCACCTGTGACATGTTGTTATACATCAAGGGTCTCCCAAGAGACAGAGCCTGGTGCAGCCCAATGAAACCTGCAGGGAGAGCGTGACTTCCCTCTTCTGATGCCCCTGCTTGATGCCCCCTGGTTGGGAGGAGAGGACAAAAGGAACGTCATCTTCTCTGGTCTGAACTTTCTCCATGCCCCGTCTTCTGCAGGGGGCAGTAACAGCCATGACCAAAGCCTTGGCCCTGGATGAGAGTCAATATGGTGTCCGTGCCAACTGGTGAGCAGCTCCACGTGGGCTGAGAGCCTCCTGAGGGAGCTGGGAAGACGGGGAGTGAGCCCCAGAGGCAGTGTTTGCGGCAGACTTCCCTGACCCCCTCTCCTGCCTCACCCCAGCATCTCCCCAGGAAACATCTGGACCCCACTGTGGGAAGAGCTGGCAGCCTCAACGCCTGACCCCACAGTCACAATCCGAGAGGGCACGCTGGCCCAGGTAGGAGTGGGACCCAGGGCCAGGTGGCATGGGGGTGGCGGTCAGGTGGTGGCTCCTCTTGACCCTCCTTTTCCCCTTGTCTCTCCCCAGCCCCTGGGTCGCATGGGCCAGCCAGCGGAGGTGGGGGCTGCCGCTGTGTTCCTGGCCTCCGAAGCCAGCTTCTGCACTGGGATCGAGCTGCTAGTGACTGGGGGTGCGGAGCTGGGGTATGGGTGCAAGGCAGGTGGGGGCACGCCCGTGGAGGCCCCCACCATCCCTTCGTGATCTCCCACATTTCCACTTGGGCTTCCCTGACTAGGGCTCTCCCACCCAAAACTCAGTCTCCCAAATTCCAGTTCCCCCCCCCCGCCCAACTCTAGACATCAAGCCCACTTACCAATGTGTCAAACCACCGCACCGCTTCCCATAAAAGCGCTCTGCAGCCAGAAGGAAGAAGGCATCATTACATTTATTTTCGGCCCTTTATGAGTCTTATCACGCCAGGACCCCGTCTCCCCGCCCCACCCAGCCCCACGCATTCCCACGCGTGGCCTGGACCCGAGGGACTACAACTCCCGGCAGGCTTTGCAGCAGGAGCCTGTAACCAGGGTCTCCTGGGAAATGTATTGCAGGTCGGCTTCACCAGCACGCTAATTAAAAAGGCCCATAGGGGAGAGTAAATTAAGCTCCGATTGGGAGATAATGGAGGAGGTAAAGCAAAAAGATCTGCGCTTTATTCTTGGCGCTTAGGGAAAAGGAGTTTTGACCTTGCTGCCCGCGGAGTAGGAGGGTGGCCAGTGCCAAAAGTCCTGATGGAAGAGAAAGCCGTCGGGTTGAAACTCCCGGGTCAGAGGGAGGAAAGGCTTGGGGTCCGGACCCCTGGGTTTGTGGAGGAGGAAACTAGGGAGGAGGGAGGAGGAAACTAAGGGGCGTGGACTCCCGGGCTGGGAGGAGGCGGACTCGGTTCCCCGAGGTGGGGAGAGGGGCCCAGTTGGGGGTAAGTCCCCCAGGTGTGGAGGTGGAGCTGCATCGCTGCTGCGGATTGGCCGCGGCGGTGGGCGGGTTGGGGGTGGGGGTGGGGGCGTGTGAGGCAATCGCTGATTGGCCGCGGCGGAGGCGGGCGCTGTCTAGGCGCCGCGTCCTGACTGCTTCCAGCCGAGGAGGTGGGGGAGGACTGGGGAGGAGGGAAGGAAAACAGGGAGACACCCTGCGGGGGAGGGGTCAGAATTTGACTGGCTGGGCCTGTGGCTTTTAGGACTGGGGAACAGAATTTGGGAGCAAAATGTCCCAGGGTAGAATTACGCAGACTCAGCGACCTAGGGAACGGAGTTTGAGGATAGAGGAAGAACAATATTTTGGTGTCAACAGTAACCTGGATGCAGGAGTTGGGGGAACTCTGACCTCGGAAGGTTTGGGGGGCACAGTGACCGCGGAGCACGATGTAGGAGACACTGGTGCAGGTTTGAATTGCTAGCGATTAGAGGGATCCTGAGGGGCTGTAATCGTCTAACTCTGCCCCTGGGGGTCATGAAGTTGGGGAGACACTCTTGAAGGGGAGTAACCAGGAAATCCTGCTCTACGGGCTGCTCATTGAAGCTCATTGATGAACTGGGGGATTGAAAATTTTCGGGTGTCACTGATGAAGGGAGCTGGAAGGAGGCATGGTGAACCGAGTGTATGTTTATACCTTAAGAAGGTACAAAGAATACACATATATCTTCTCGTTGGAAAGAAAACCTGTATTCAAACAGGGAAGTATCTGGACAGAGTGAAGCTCCCCCTTCATCCCTACCTGCCACCCTCTTCAGAGTCCTTTCCGTTTAACGGTGCATTTTAAAATAATATCTGCGCCCACCGACATTTATAGTGTGCTTTTTCTTTTCACCAAGAATCGTGGTATGTGAAGGTTTCTGCTCCCTGCCTTTCCCCGTCGGGTTGCTTATCCTCTTCAGCGCTCCACAACAGTACTGTACCTACTGAAATGCATTTTTGAAAACCTCTGAATGCACGCTCTAGCGTGGGGGCTGGGAGGAGGGTGTATTTCCACGTACTCCCTTCGCCTCGCAGGTTCCAGCGCATGCGCTCTGCAGCAGGGCCCAGCTCCCCGCGGGCGCCCTGTAACTGGGAAGGCCAGGCCGGCCTTGGGTGGTAGGCTGGCAGCCATCCCACGGGAGGAGGCGTGAGCGGGGCGGGGCAGGAACGTCTTTCTCCCGGGCCGCGCCCTCGGCGGGCACAGATACCTGCCTCACAGACCATGGCTGCAGCGGCGTTGAGGCAGGTGGGTTCGCGGCCCAGTGCCGGGGGCTAGGGAGCCCTGCGGTGCGGCGCACTTCCGGGCGGACCCCTCTCCGGTGGCCAGTCCGACGCGGCGCCGCTCCTCCCGCACTCGGGTTCCGCTGCTGGGCCGAGGAGGAGGGGGCCCCTTGGAAGGAGCACTAGGCTTTAAGGGGGGTGAAGGGAGAGAGGTAATCGGTGGGAAGGGGACCCAGATGGGACATATAAGGAAGGATACATGGAGGAGGAGACGGTAATGGGAGAAGCATGGGGCTGGGGTGGCGGGATGGATTAGGAGGGAATAGTCAGCCTTTGGGAGCGCCGGGATAAGATGCCCAGGACTTCTGGAGTAGGAGTAGGATGAAGGCACAGAGTTCAGTCTTAGGTCTGGACTGGGAATTGGACCCAAGGCCCTATTTTCCTGGAACTAAAGATAGAAGTAGAATGTTGTGTCCCCGAAACCCCTTATCTGAAACTCTGCACCTGGGTTGGAAATCGAGGCAGCATCTCATTGTCAGTGACAGAGATCTTCCAGGCGAGAGTGGGACCCCTCCATTCTTACTGATAGGATGTCAACAGGCAGAGCTTCCGAGAGTCTGTGATTCTAGAGAACAGGGCTTCTCAGTGAGGAAGGAAACAATAACAACTCAAAGAAGGGGATCTTTACAACCCTTGACAGCTGTAGCATAACGTTGGGAGAAATGGTTCCTGTTAACTTTGCACCTGACTTTATCTGGGACTTTTATCCCAGCCTGATGGATAGCAGGACAGATGTTTACTTTCTCAGTCTCAATGACTGAGAAAGGCCTGGGCTGTGACTGGGACAATCTAGGCTTTGATGATGACACTCCTGGGCTGTGTTGGTAGGTCAGCCCTGGGCTGTGACTGGGTCAATGGAGGTTCCATCATATTACAGAGCCCTGCCCTGTGCATACCCCACCACACTCCAAACCATTTCTCATTTCCTGATTCAGCCCCAATCCTTTTACACTCTTTGTCCCAAAGGCTCATCTATCATCTGAGATCTCTTTTGGGCCCAGTTCCCCCCCCACCCTGCCCCCATGGTTTGGGGTATCAGACGGTGGAGCACCTTCCCCGAGCTGAAGTGAGACCCCTGCCCCCAGAAAAATGTCCTGGGAGGATGAAGGGAGACTCTCCCAGTGTGACAGGGTCTCTGGCCAGTACAGATTTATAATCTGGAAACAGTGCCTGGCACCTTCTCTCTGCCTTGTGGGTGTGTTTTTCTGCCTCTCCTCTCTGTCTCTCCTGGATATCTCTGTCTCCAAGTATCACTGAGACAGTTTCTCTCCAGCGGTTGGCATTGCTCTCTCTCTCCCAGTGTTTCCTCATTTCCCTAGGTCTCCCTTTCACTTTGTGCTGTCACCTAAGTTGGGTCTTGGTCTGTTCCTCTCCTTTTTCCTGTTCCTTCTCTCATGGCTTCTGTTTATCCTGCCTTCATTATTTTTTCTTGATTTCTCCGGGCTTTACTTTGTCTGAATTTCTCTCCCTCTTGTCTCTTGTCTCAGTTTCGATCTCTCTTTATGATCATATCTATTTTGGCATCTCTTGGCCTTGATTTCTGTTCTTTAAAGTTTTCTATTTCCATGTCTCTCTTTCTCATTCTTACGCTTCCCTATTTTTTCCCATTCGGCCTCCCTCTGAGTCTGAGAGCTGCTTTCCTGCCCACATGCTGGCTGCCTCCGCCCTACGTATCACAATTTTCTCCATTCCACGGGTGTCCTGTCCCCTCTTGGACAGAAGCTGGCCAGTGGCTTCGGCAGGCTACACAGCGCCACCTAGAGGCCATGCCCAGGACCCACACCCACACTCTGATCATCCCAGAAGCTCTTGGGCCCCACACCATTCAGGACCACTCCTCAGACTTCATGGCCTAGACTTTAGGACATTACAACAACGCAGCCCCCCTCTCCTCATGACTCACCTACTGACCAGTGACTTCTGCCATTCACATCCGTTCTCAGTTCCCCCAGCTCACAAGGCAGGAGCAGGCTAGGCTGTTCTGTCTCTCCGAAACCTCATGACACAGCTGCCTTCCCACCAGGCTGGGGAAAGGGGTATTGTGAGGTCAGAGACCACTGGGGAGAAGCCATCCTGCTGGACACAGCCAGACCTGCTCTCCCATGCTGGCCTCAGGCAGGACCACAAGGGAAGTGTTCATCTGAGCAGTGTCTCTTGATGACCGGGGTGGTTCTCAGGTCCATGTGGCTGCCCCTCAGCCCTGGGAACTGAAGGGAATTGGAACTGCTGGTGTCCAAGGTGTGGGATTGGGGCTTCAGGTAAGCTGAGCCCAGTTGATCTAATATCCTGAAAGAGAAGGACTTGGACTCCTGGGTCTGAAGGAGGATGAGGCTGGGGGCCTGGTGAGTGAGGAGGGGCCAGGGGCCTGGATCCTGGGTCTGAGTGGGGAGGGGCTGGGGGCCTGGATCCTGGGTCTGAGGGGGGAGGGCCTAGGGGCCTGGATCCTGAATCTGAAGGACGAGGGGCCTGGACTCCTGGGTCTGAATCCTGGGTCTGAGGGAGGAGGGGCCGGGAGTCTGGATCCTGGGTCTGAGGGAGGAAGGGCTGGGGGTCTGGATCTTGGGTCTGAGGGAGGAGGGGCCGGGGGTCTGGATCCTGGGTCTGAGGGAGGAGGGGCTGGGGGTCTGGGTCCTGAATCTGAGGGAGGAGGGGCTGGGGGCCTGAATCCTGGGTCTGAGGGAGGAGGGGCCGGGAGTCTGGATCCTGGGTCTGAGGGAGGAAGGGCTGGGGGTCTGGATCTTGGGTCTGAGGGAGGAGGGGCTGGGGGCCTGGATCCTGGGCCTGAGTGGGGAGGGGCCGGGGGTCTGGATCCTGGGTCTGAGGGAGGAGGGACTGGGGTTCTGGAATCCTGGATCTAAGGGAGGATCAGGCTGGGGGCCTGGAGTCCTGGGTCTGAAGGGGGAGGGGCCTGTGGGCCCTGCTCCTGGGTCCTGGGGAAGCATGACCTATAGGCCCATCACTTTTCTAACTCTTTTCAGGATTTGGGTCCCCCCCGGGGAGGCCTTCACTTACCTGCACACCTTCCTGTGTCGTCCTCGGTCTGATCTGGTCTCAGGGCTGGGCCAAAGTTCCCTGGGGTAGGAGGCGCCTGTGATTGACTTTGCCCCAGCATGGAGGAAGGGATGGGAGCTGATTCAGCTCTTCATTGGATGGCCCTCGTGAGGGCAGGGAGGGGAATTGGCCTCCTTTGGGATTTCCTCCTGCTACGTGCTGATCAGGACAGGGGAAGGGACTTGGCCAGGGCCATGTGCCCTGTCTAGAATGTACTGGGCCTGGGACAGAGCCAGCCGGAGGGACCTGCCAAGTGCAGGAGGTGGCAAAGATGGTGCCAGGGGTCCCTGCTCTCTCTGTCTGCTGGCCTCACCACCTTTCTTACTTCTGTCCCCACCCCCAGATTTGGACCCGAAAATTTCTCCCTGTCCCTTGGCTTCTGTGTGGTCGCAGAAGATATGACTCATCCAGCTTCAAGGTGACAGGAGGGGACTATACTTTTGGATCTCAAGGAAGAGGGGCTGGGAGCCTGGACCACTGGGTCTGAGGGAGGCAAAGGCTGGGGGCTGGATTTGGGCATCTCCAAAAGGTCCAAGGTCCAAAGGTGAAGGTGGGTGGCAATGGGGTAGCCCAATTGCCCGCCATCAGGCCATGGGAAAGAGGAGAAACCACATGTCCCAGAAGCCTCTGGGGCTACAGTTCCCTCTTCTCACTGAGTCTTAGCCCCAGGGATTTGTGGGGCTAAGTTTTTAGTTTTTTAGATTGGAGGTTGTGGTTAGATTCCAGGACACCTGTCTTTTCTCAGGCTGCAGACCTGCAGCTGGAGATGACACAGGAGCCTCATAAGAAGCCTGACCCCAGCAAGCCCCTGCTGTTCGGGAAGACATTCACCGACCACATGCTGATGGTGGAATGGAGCAGGGAGAAGGGCTGGGGCCAGCCCCGAATCCAGCCCTTCCAGAACCTCACACTGCACCCGGCCTGCTCTGCTCTCCACTATTCCCTGCAGGTGGCAGGGCGTCTGCCCTCCATCCCCATCTCTCTCCGCATCTCTTCCCTCTTGCTGTGTCTCTTGCTGGGTTTACCTCCCTGGGTTTGCTTTTTGTGTGTTTCTCATTTCCAAGCGCTCCTCACCCGTTTTCTGAGGCCTGTCACGTTCCAGGCCCCGTGTTGGGTGATGCAGGGTTCCCCGAGATGAGCAGACCCAGCTTCTTCGCTTGAAAACCCCACCCAGTGGGATCTGTGCTCAGATGGAGGCAGCTGAGGCATTGTGAGACACCAGGGGAGGAATGCCCACCCTACCTCTAATTTGACAGGAAGTGGGGTCTTTCCTGTAAAGAGGGGAGCTTAGGCTCTTCGAGGGAGAAGAGACATCAGTACAGACATAGTACAAAGAAGAGCCCAGCATGTTTGGGGGGAAGCATGGGGTTGGAGCCTGGTAGGGGTGGCTGAAGATGTCATCAGGACCACAGAGGAGCTGGGATCTTGTCAAGCGTATTGGGAGCCCTGGAGGGCTCCGAACAGGCATAGAGCAGGTAGAGAAAGACCCCTCTCAGGCCATTTGGAGGATGTGCTCGGTCCAGAGCTGGGGGGATGGCCAGGAGGCAAACAGATTCAGGGACACGAGGGATTTGGCCGGTTGGGCAAGAGATGAGCAGAGAGGACCGAGGACAGTGCCCTGAGGTTTAGTCAGGTGACCATGTAGACCACGGGACTGTCCCCATACAGGGACACAGGAGGAGGATGACTTTGCAGGACTTGGTGAGGGACCCGTGAGGAGAGACCCAGAGGCATTTAGTTTCAGACTTCATGCTATGGCTGAAAGCAAAGTCTTTCTGTGGAAGCTTTAATTGTGACAAAATTTGAAGGAACACATTGCAGTTCTAATAGCTGGTTTGCAGTTTTTGTCCCGTAGGGCATTTGGTTCTGTGACATTAGGGATGTTTTCCTTTTTTTCTTTTCTTTTCATAATTTTGACAGTTTTCTTCTTCCCACCTACTCGGGACATTTGACTAGAACCGATCAGTTCTGTGCAGGGGAGACGCAGCTTGGGGAGCAGTTAGGTGCGAAGGACGGACAGTCAGGACATGTCCACAGATCCCCCCAGGAAGGTGGCTTTTGGAGACCACCATTTGTTTACCTCCCTTTTCAGCCCAACATGCCAGGATGTTCTCCGGCTGGGGACCCAGTTCTTTTACTTTAGTTGAGTGAGTGCAGATGAAGGGGTTGAGCTAAGGCCCTGGCATCCAAAACATAACGTTCTTTGTGATGCCTCTCACAGGATGCCTGGGGACCTGAGGCCAGCTGAGGGCACGGGAAATTACATCCTCGTGTCATCCTGACTCTGGGGGCAGTGTGGAATAACACCCAGCCACTTGTGTTGTTATTTTTTATTATCATGGTAATAATGCACATACATAATAATACAGATAACATAAAATGTACCGTTTTAACCATTTTAAAGTCTACAGTTCAGTGGCATTGAGTACATTCTCCATGTTGGGCAGAGAGCATTTCCACTCTCTAATTCCAGAACTTTTTCATCATCCAAAACAGAAACCCCACACCCATTAAGGAGTCACTCCCCAAGCCCCTGACCCCAGCACCTGCCAACCATTAATCTGCTTTCTGTCCGTATCTCCCCGTATTTTTATTTTTATTTATTTATCTATTTATCTATCTATCTATCTATTTATTTATTTATTTGGCCATGCGGCTTGCAGGATCTTAGTTCCCCGACCAGGGATCGAATCCGGGGCCCCAGAAATGAAAGCGCCGAGTCCTAACCACTGGACTGCCAGGGAATTCCTCCCTGTATTTTTAAACTTTTAATTTTATTTGGAGTGTTTTTCAATCAAAAACACCTCTTTTGAAAAAGGGGTCATATATTCATATATTTACACAGTTCAAAGAAGAGGGAACAAATATACCTCCCCAGGCCCCAGCCACCTCACCACCCTCCCTGAAGCAGCCCCCTCACCCATTTCCAGTCCCCAGGTCCTTCCAGAGTTCTGCTTTCTGGATGGCAACACGGATGTGTATAATTGTTTCTTCCCCCATAAAAGTCAGCATATGGTACACTCACTCTTTGGCATCCTGCTTCCTTCTGTTAATGTAGCCTGGAGGTTCTTGAACAGCCCTTGAAGAGCTTTTTCCTTCTTTTTGCTGCTGTGTAATATTCCATCCTAACAACGCCTTGTTTAGGCCGTCCTCTATCGTTGGACACTTAGGTTGTTTCCAGTCTTGTGCTATTATAAACAGCGTTACAATAAACCAGGAAACACCTCACTTCCTTAAGAGCAAGTGTATCTCTCGATTTCTGCAACTGTTGGCTCAAAGGGTATGTGTGCTTGTAATTGTGACAGATGTTGAATCATAGCCACCTCTACAGAAGTTGTATTGATTTCCACACTTAACCAGCGGGCCCTGTTTTCCCCATACCCTGGGTGACCCTTGTTAAATTTTAGATCTCTTCCAATCTCCTAAGTGGTTTTAAAGGTACCTCAAAGTAATTTTTTTTTTTAAAGAAGATGTTGGGGGTAGGAGTTTATTTTTTTAAATTATTTTTTAGGAGTTTATTAATTAATTTATTTATTTTTGCTGTGTTGTGTCTTCGTTTCTGTGCGAGGGCTTTCTCTAGTTGTGGCAAGCGGGGACCGCTCTT